GAAGAAATCTAAGCGTCACTGAGCCATTAGTGGAAAACACGGCTCCAGGGATTGATGGGTACCATTTGCGATGTTTCAACAAGCTCATGCATCACTAGAAGCATTCACTCAATCTATGCCAAGGAATTTGGAAGACAACTACTTCGCCAACTGACTGGAAGAGATCCTTATTTCAGAACATTTCATTGTGCTCATGTGGAACCTGTACATGGACCAAGAGGCAGTTGTTCAAACAGAACAAAGGCACTGAGTGGTTTAAAGTCAAGAAAGGGATGCAGTAGGGTGTGTCCTTTTACCACAATTATTCAGTCCATAAACTGGGCAGGTAATCTGAGAAGCTGGGCTCTGTGAAGAATATTGTGGCATCAGGATTGGAGGAAGGTTGAAAAGTTGTGATATGCAGATAACACAACCTTGCTTGTTGAAAGGGAAGAGGACTTGAAACCCGTATTTTTTTTTAATATAATTTTTAAAATCAATTTATTGGGGCTCATACAATTCATCACAATACATAGATCAATTGTGTAAAGCACATCTATACATTTGTTGCCCTTATTATTCCCAAAATTCGCTTTCCTCTTGTGAAACCCGTATTAATGAAGGTCAAGGATCGCAGCCTTCAGTATGATTACAACTCAATGTAAATAAAACCAAATCCCTCATAAGACCAATAGGTAACATCATAATAAATGGAAAAGATATTGAAGTTATCATCTTGTTTGGGTCCACAATCAGTGCTCATGGAAGTAGTAGCCAAGAAGTCAAATGACATATTGCATTAGGCAAATCTGCTGCACAAGACCTCTTTAGAGGGTTGAAAAGCAGGGCTGTTACTTTGCAGAGTAAGGTGTGCTTGACCCAAACTATAGTGCTTTCAGTCATCTCATTTGCATGCGAAAGTTGGACACTGAATAACCGGCGAAGAATCCGCTTGAATTACGGTGTTGGCGAGGAATAGTGAAAATGTCAGGAACTGCCAGAAGAACCCACAAATCTGTTTTGTAAGAAGGACAGCTAGAATGCTCCTGGGAAGCAAGGATGATGAGACGTTGTTTCACGTACTTCGAACCTGTTGTCAGGAGAAACCAGTCCCCGGAGAAGGACATCATGCTTGGGTAACGGGAGGGGCGGTGAGGAAGAGGCAGGCCCTGGATGAGATGGATGGCCACCGTGGCTGCACTGATGAGCTCGAACGTAACAGTTGTGAGGGTGGTGCTGCACCAGGCAGAGTTTACTCGATTGTGCACAGGGTCACAGTGAGTTGGACCTGACTCGACAGGACTTTGACAACGACAACAACAAAATACCAACAGCATGTATTCCTCTAACTTCCTGGTAGTTCATTTGCTTTAAGTTGAATATGTATTGTTATGGATGTTTCTAGTTTATAAATTTAAAGTCCCCTTCCCCCCCAGGAATATTTGTTCTATGTGTGGAAGCAGGATTGTATAATCTTTGTAGAACAGATGGATTATTCTTTTACTTAAGGTGACTTATGTGTAAATCCTCTGTAAAAGGTTTATTAAGCGTTATGATATTTTATTAAATGCATGTATTAGGTGACAGTTGAAAGGAAATATGTTAAACTGAGAAAAACACATTTGGTTAGTTTCTGGATGTCTTTTAAAAAAAATATTTTACATCCTTTATAGATGTGGTAGATGCTTTTTTTTTTTTACATATACACCTTAAGATATTGATCTTCCTATTGGCTTTAGGGAGATGGTGACGCTAAGCCTCATTGGGCCTTTTAAGAGAACGTGGTTCAAAGAAATCCAGGCCACAGGGCTTCAGAACTGGGCAGTGACTTACTGTGCTCATATAATTTTAGGTCATTCAGTTGTTGTCCCCGTTCAGTCCAGGTCAGGGTATTCCTTTACAGCAGGGATGGGGGACCTTTTTTTCTGCCAGGAGCCATATATTTATAACATTGTCAACTTAAAAAATTAGCCTGCTATATTTGGTCAAATGTTTAATTAACCCACCCCTCATATGATGGCTGGAACTCTTTGTTGAAGCGTGTGATGTTAGCTAGTATTGATTTCAAGGGCTTTATGTGGCCCACGGGCTAAATACTTCCCACTCTAGATTTGCAGTGTGATGCATGTCTGAGTGTGTGTGAATGTTCCTCGCAAAGCGGAAGAGGAAAGGAAAGACGTTGGTTCTGAGAGGCAGTAACTGGGGAATCTTAGACTCTCAAGGCTGTGGAGGAGCTTTGTACCCTTCGTTACATTTTGCAGGGTTTATCCTGTGCAATTAGGCCAGGGGTGGTTGTGGCAGCAGTCTGCCCCGTTATTGATCTCTTACTCTGTACCAGTGTGCGTATACGTTTCCTTTTCCTCCTTTAGAGTGAGTGGAAGAGAAAGTATTTTCCCACTGATTATTCCTTACATGGATATATGAGTTTTGCTTGAACTTCATCCTTTCCCAATAGTGACACCCTTTAGGTCTCACATGTCAAAGCGAGACTCTTTTTTGCCAATATTTTTATTAGCATTTAATTGATATGTCATGCAATTTAAGAGTTCAGTCATACTAAGAATTGTGCAACCGTCACTGTATGCAGAACATTTTTGTCTCATGCTTGTTGTTAGTTCCCTGCCTTCCTCCACCTTCCCCTGCCACGCCCCTGGGTGATTATTAATCCAGTTACTGCCACTGCAGATTTTATATACAGAAAATCATACCAATCAAAACCAAGAAACAAACAAACAGAACCCAACAACAATGACAAGACAAAACGGGAGGAAACCTCAGTCAGAAAGAAGCCAGACAATAGTAAAAACTGACACACCTTAAAATGGGTCAAAAGGGAGCTCAAATGATGAGGTTACATTTGAACCTAACCACGTCTTCCACAATTGGCTTTGCCAGGCTCGCCATTTGATAGCAAGGCCGCCGCATCCCTGGACCGTGTTCAGTGGGCGGTCACTGGAGACATGATTGATAGAGGTCTCTGCCAATAGCTTTTGGGCTTTTTTGCCTTCTGCAAATGGGTGTTCAGAATTTAAGCTGGATTTGGATTTTATTATTTACAATCCTGAGATATCACATAAGCTGGTGTGTTTCTTCCATGTGGACTTAGTTTATGCCTCACTTAGAAGGCTTCTTGTTTTTAAGAAAAGCCGATAAGACTCAGATGTTATACTTTCTGATAGATGGCCAACATCTGATTTCTTCACCACACTTTGCTATGGCACCCATATCTTCAGTGAAATCTTCATAAGGTGGAGGATCGAGTAGGGCCATTGCATAAGAATGAAATGTTTTCAGGTTAGGACTATGATTAAGTGCAATCCCCAAATCCATTCATATGGTTTATATATGTCTCTGGTTCATTTTAGAGACATAATTATCATACTATAATACAGAACATTGCAAGTCATCCCCATGGGGGTGGTGGTAATTCTATTCATAGTTTTATTAATTTAGCCAGTGGTATAGAATTCAAAACACTGTTGAGAAAAGGAAATTAATTATACATGTATAGGCTGGCTTTTCATACTACAATACATGAATTATAGACTTTTATAGATTAAAAGCTTAAGTGACCAGGCACTGTTTGCACAAACAATGGGGTCTGGGGATAGAGCCAAACTTCCAGTAGCACTTAATGAGAATCGTTATCAGAAATTACATTGGCTCTTGAGACAGGAACCATTATGAATGAGACAGAATTGTTTAAAAGGGCCCATCGTTCCCTTTTTAAACTAAGAAATGTGCCCAGATGTCATTTATAATCCAAAGGACATAGCCCAGTTAGCAGCGTGGTGGTCTTCCTGGACATTAAGTATTTTTTCATGTGGGTAACAAGTACTGCCCTATGAATGCCACTACAACTCTGTAACTAATGTGCTGTTGCCACCGAGCCTTACCAATAGTTTGGTCTTCTGGACACCATGGAGGGACACACTTCCTATTGTTTGCAGTTACCCTCACAGGAATGTAAAAACAAACACAGTTCTCCCCCCTGCCCCCGTCTCTCAGTCCAAGTTTGCCTTCTGGTCAGCACAGTTTTGTTTCCACCTTCCTGTGATAGGCGACAGAGTTCCGGAAGGCCACACTTTGGCCTGTCACTGGGTTTGCCACCCACTGGCTTGTCTTCTGTCGGGAGGCAGGTACACAGTCACGATGAAGGAGCAGGGGACCCACACAGGCTTTTCTGCTTCACTGGAGAGGTCAGGAGGGCAGTGGTGTCCAGTGGGAGGACCCTCCCCTTCCTCGTAGTAACCCCAGGGTTGCATCCCGGCCAGGCCACCGCCCATGCAGCCCCACCCTTCTGCTCCAGAAAGCTTGTGTGTCTGTGGTGCTTCCAGACTCAGATGGACCAGCAGGCAAGGCCTGGCAATCTGCATCCGAAGACCCACCAGTGACCCCTCGTGGGTGTCCATGGTCTGATCTGCAGCTGACCACAGGGCAGCGTTTTGTTCCTCTGGACAAGGGGCCCTGTGAGTCCGAGGCAGCCCCATGGCCACTAGTAGCAATGGCTCGATGTGAGTGACATTGTTTCTCACGCCTCCGCTCCTTCTGGGAGACCGCTCATTTCACCAGGGCTTTGCTTCCCGCACCCCCAGAAGCCCTTTCTCCACAGTCTGGAAATCGGTGCCTTCGTTAGCAAGCAGCCCAGTCACGGAAACCAGGAGGGTCCGTGGTGTCTGAAAAGGGACTCCTCCGGTTGGGGCCAGCTAGTGAGACCCGGGGCACCGGGTTGAAGGGAAATGACTCCTGTGCTATTTGGAGAGTCTCGTCCTGAGGACAATTGAACAGTCCAGACAGGTCACTGGGTGAGACCAATTTCCTGGTTTGTTTATTTGAGCCTGATTGTTTTTCACCGCCAGGCAGCAGGTCACAGTCCTGCCACACTGTCACCCCGGCCCTGTGGAGAGCAATCCCTTTCTTATTTGATTTCTCCAGGCGTCCACAGGACCCCAGCTCTGTCTTTCTTTGGTACCAGAGCAGACGACAGTGCCCTTGTTTAATTTTAAATTCATCCTCTGCAGGCCTTTGGCTTTATGTCCCGGGTTGCCCTCCAAGCAGAGAAGATGAATCATCACCCGGAATGGTTCAACGTGTACAACAAGGTAACTGAAATTGTCTGACTTTGGGGGGTCATCTTAATCGTGGAGCTTAAGGAACTTCCGCCTTCTTGGCCCTGTTCTGTGCAGATAAATGTCTGTGTGCTTGGGAAAGTGTTCTCTGACCATCCTCCTGAGGATCCCTGGAATGACTGCGGATGCTCACGTGTGCTCGTGTGGACAGGGAGGAAGCTGTCTAATTTTTTTGCTGAAACCAGTCTGAGAACATTGGGCCACATTAGAAGTTAAACTTGAGTATCAGTCATGTAGATAAAATTTAAAAGCTCTTAATCGAAGTCATTGAGATCAATAATAGCACGTGAGATCCTTTTTTATCTCATGGAAATAAATTCTCTCAAGGCTTGTGCTTTAAATGATAAATGTTTATGGAGTAGCGTGCCTTAGTAAAGACAAAGGGCGGACCAAAAAGTGGTCTTATGGGGGCACAGTGAGCAGAATGAAGCACCTCATATCCTACCCCCCCAAAAAACTCCAAGTGCCCCTGTTCTTATGGGCATACTGTTTGGGATATCTAGTCAACTAGGTTTCTGTGGGGCTTATTTTCTTTCTGGAAGTCTTCTTGAAAAAAGAGAAACTTTCTGAGATGGCTTTTGGGAGTTATTGGAGGGACTCCAAAGCACCCAAATGCTGGATAAACTTTTCATTCTTGCCCATAATTTTGCTCTTTCGAAAAAAAAAAAATTTCCCCTTTTGGTTTCCAGTTTTATTGACATATAGTTATAGTTTTGCTTTTTAATTGCTCCATCCCAAAGTGTTAATCCATTCCTCTTTCCCTAATTTGGAAATGTGCTTTTTTAACATCACAGCTAAGATATTACATTTGATAGCTTGGATTTTCCCAGTGACCTGAAAATAGTCCATGCAATTAAAGTAATGAGAGCCAAAGTGGAGCCTCAGTCGCTCTCTCTCTTTCAAGGAGCAGGGCTTGGCGATTCTGGCAGCTGAGCTGCCTCTTCGTATGAGAGGACCTTTTTGTCTCTGCTCAGCTGCATGGTGCAGGCTCTGGCCCTGGAGTTTGCTGGTTTGGGAAATGCAGTGCTTCGCCATGATGTCGTATTTAAAAATGGCTTAATCCTCCCAGCCCCCCAATATGAATGCTGGGTAACAGATGAACATGAAGTGCAGCTTGGAGACATCACTGCTTCTCTCTCTTTCAGGTTCAGATAACGCTCACCTCGCACGACTGTGGAGGACTGACCAAAAAGGATGTGAAACTGGCCCAGTTTATTGAAAAAGCAGCTGCTTCTGTGTGACTTCTCCACGTGCATGTCAACCTAGCACACGTATTAGCTACAGCATAATTTGAAGGCAATTTACCCAGATGAATGAAGCTGTAAATTTAATTGACCATGATACCATGTTTTGTAAAATGAGTGCTTAAATACAAAATAATTTAAACTTGATCCTGAGATATTTTTCATTATGTCTAATCACATACAGAAGGTAAAATAACCCGGGTAAGTATATTACTAGTGTTTGAAAAGAGAAATGACTTTCCTAAAGGTTGGAAAGGAGGATAAGGGCAAATTCACACGTTTTAGTAACCCAGAAATTCAACCAATTAAACTGACTATACAAATACAATAATAGAAAAAGTTATGAACTTTGAAGGTATAACAATTTTGAGGTGCTAAAGTTGGTTTGCTTTTGGCTATTGATATTACTTAAGTATTTAGATTATGAACACCATAAACATTTGATGAACCACCTCAGTGTGTTTTATCTCACTTTTCAGGCAAGTCGTTGAACGAAAAAACACGTGTCTTGAGTGGCTTGTTCAGGGTTTCCCGCCGGGTTGAAAAACTGTCCTAATGACCAGTTTTCCAAGTTCTTGTCTGATGAACTCAGTTAAAGAGGGATTGAGGGTCATTGTTTTCCCTACCATTTGCAGGATGTGCCCCTGAACTGAGGGTCACTCAGCTAGCACTGAGCTCTGCTTACACTCTAAGTCCGTAAGGAGTTAAAATTAATCTAATGAAAAACAATAATAATAGCAGGGTTGTCTTAGGCTAGATTTTGTAGAGGAGCAAACTTATATATATATGAGGAGTTCAAGAATTTCCTGGAAATACTTCCATTTCTTTGAACTTCATTTTTCCATGCACTTTTGAAAGCTCCCTTGTAGAACTATATATTCATAGAAGATCTATGTCTAGGAAGTGGCTCACACAGTTGTGCAGGCTGGCAAGTCACAAACCCATGGGTCAGACATCAGGCTGGAGGCTTCTCCTGACTGAAGGGGTTGGTGAGCCCCACCTTGACAAGTCAGCGGGGAGGCTCATGGGGTTGTAGGGCTGACAAGTCTCAAAATCTGCAGATCAGGTGGTAGGGTTGCTGGTTCACCTTCCAAGAACTGGAGATCAAGGATATTGAGTCAAATGCAGGATTAGGGGTGCATGACCTTTGCCAGAGCGGCCATATCGAGTGGATACGGGTCTCCAGTGTCCTTGGGGACACTGCCCTGATGTGCATCAGATTACAAAATGAAGGCTTGCTGCACATGCTGAGACGCGTGGCCTGCTCAAGTTGGCACATAGCGCCACCCATCACAGTCCATGCGTGGTCTGTGCATCCCTCCTTAGACCATGTGCAACCGCTAAGTAAAACAAGTATGAAGTCATCCTCGTGGGGCACATGCTACAACTAATATGCATACAGCCCAAAACACACTAGTCCTGTGTATGTCTTATGCTTCATAATAAGGGAAGGAAGAAAGCAAAAATATTTGCGATATGTGTGTGTGTGCACACTTATAAGGAGGCTTCAGAAAGTTCATGGAAAAATAGAATTAAAAGACAATGGAATTTTCTCGTGAACTTTTCGAGGCCCCATCATGTATGTGTGCATACACATATACGTACAAGACAGACCTTATTTTGTTACACTTCCTGTTATTTTACTTCACTGATGCGCTTCCACAAATTGAAGGTTTGTGACAACTGGGTCAAGCAAGTGTTCGAGTGCCATTTTTCCAACAAAATATGCTTTGTGTCTAAATGTCACATTTTGGTAATTCTCACTATATTTTAAACTTTTCCCTAATGCTTAGTAGAGTAAGACAGTGGTTCTCAACCTTCCTCATGCCGCGACCCTTTAATACGGCTCCTCATGTGGTGGTGACCCCCCAATCATAAAATTATTCTCGTTGCTACTTCATAA